CTCGCACTTCGTGGGCATCGACGGCGTCCGCGCCTTCCTGCACTCCTACTCGCACGAGGTGTCGCTCACGGCCGACTCGCGCAAGAGCCAGCTCCGCTTCTCGGGCGGCAGCTGCTGCGACACCCTGCCGGCCCGCCCGCCGCCCGACGAGCCCGCGCCGCTGCTCGGGGAGGACCCTGCCGCCGCCCGCCGCGCCGAACCCGACCCCGACCCCGACGCTCCCCCGGTGAGTTCCTCGCACCACGCGTGCTCCAAGACGCTTCCCTCTCCTGCTTCTCTGCCCTTTTCCACCCCCTGTCTTCCGTGTCCCGCATAGGCACGTTTAGTAACAAGGAAGTCAACACCTCTTTCTTTCTGGAGGTTGGGTTCGTTGGATCAGCGTTGCACTTGGTGTGGGAGTCGGGCTGCTGTTGGCTTGAGCTTTGTTAGAGTGGCACTTCGTTTTTTTATCGTGTCGTTTCTGTGTTAGATTCTGTTCACTGAGCCAATCTCTCCTGTAGGACCGCTCCTCTTTTACTTTTAGAACCTTCATGTTTCATCTCTGAAGTGTAGTGAGCAGACAATGTATCTTTGTCTTCCTACAGAGATGAGGAGATATCTATGTGAAGTCCGTGGGTGATCCTGGTGCATGGTGAAGGGAAATGATGTTGGCATATGTCAGCTTTCTGGATCTGTGGAATATTTAATCTGATGTTATTTGTCTGACTGTCCCATATGTAACTTTCATGTTTACATCTGTAAATAGAAAGACTTCCTCATTGTGGTTGACAACACTTAAGACATTGAAAGATCTGTTATAATTGTTGGGCTGGGGAAACAGTTTCCTTCTATACCTTGAATGGGTTCAGCTGCCAAGACAAAGACTTTGATAGACCTCTGTTTCCTTAGATGTAACTGAATGAAATGCTCTTTTGCCTGTTGATGACATTTGGCCAAAATATGGGATATTGTTCGTGGTGCAACTGAAGTCTGTGAATGCAGAGCAAGGAGGCTGAGACACTTGCTCTGAACCATGAAAATAGGTCATTCAATGTGGTTTTCACAGAACAATGGTTTGATTTCATGCCTGTTGCTGGGGCCTGTGCCATTTTTTTGTTATCCTGGATTACCTGTCCTCCTCTTCCGTGCCCCGTGTAGGTACGTTTAGTGACAAGGGAGGCAAAGCTTCCCTGAGGTGAGGGTGGGCTCGTTGCTCAGCGTTGCACTTGGTGTGGGAGTCGGGAGAAGTGGGGCTGCTCTTGCCTTGAGCGCCACTTTGTGTTTTTATCTTGTCGTTACTGTGTTAAACACTGTTCACTAAGCCAGTCTCTCCTGGAAGACCTCTCCTCCTTTACTTTTAGATCCTTGATGTTTTTTTCTGTGAAGTGTAGTGAGGAGACAATGTATCTTTGTCTTAGTACAGAGATGTGGATATTTCTATGTGAAGTCCTTGGGTGATCCTGGTGCATGTGTCCACTCATGCACAGAAATGCTCTGTCTTGTCACATAGGCACAGAGAGAAGTCAAATACTATGAGATGTTGCCTGTGCCGTATTTCTTTCAATGGAGTGTATTTCCAAATTTGGAAGATCAGTGTTCATTGCTGGACTGCATAAAATAGGACTGGAGGTGTTTTACTCTTGCGGTTAAGATTTGAGAGTCACGTGTCTTCAAAGTTAAGTCTGTGAATGCAGAGCAAGGAGGGTGAGAGGCTTGCTCTGAACCATGAAAATAAGTCATTCAATGGGGTTTTCACAGAACAATGGTTTGATTTCATGCCTGGTGCTGAGGCCTGTGCCATTTTTTTGTTATCCTGGATTCCCTGTCCTGAATGATGATGCCAGTCCCCCAAGCATGAAATATTTGCACAATAACTGTGCATGTAGAATTATGATGCATGAGGAGAACGCACATAATTCCTGTGTGAAAGCTCCTTTATCCATCTGTATTTCTTTGGAACATTGTGATGTAGCGTTTCTTCATCGGTGTAATTCCACTATGTTTCAGGCCTTTGTTTCTTGCAGGGTCACAGTTCTTTTCGCCACGTCTGGATAATTCTTTTGCTTTTGACAGTGTGAGTGTTGTTTTGCAGTGATTCCTGCCCCTGGTAAGCCGTCAGGCAGCTGAAGATAGCCTAGGATGACTTAACTTGAGAAAGAGGCCTATGATAAGTGCTAACATTTACAGCTTTGTATTTGTAAGTAGATGAGCAGTTCACACAGCAGAAAAAATTGACAAGAGCTGTTGACTCTTTCTTAAAATAACCCCCCCACTATGTTGTCCAGAGGAAGACTTTAGGGTTGCACGTGTGCTTGAAAACTCAGTGATTTACAGGTGCTCGGGGTGATGAATTTTAACATCAGCACTGAAGACCAAGAGGTCTTGCTGGAGAGTTTCTTTGACAACACTTCGTCTTTAATGGTTCCTTGCCTTCTTGGTCCTTTTTTTTTTTTTTTCTCTGTTCCTGGTTTCCTATGCATGTAGGTTTAGTTTGAAGGAGTGGCATGCGTTCATGTAGCCACATGTTCTGCATTAGTGCCTCTTGCTTATGCTACAGGTCTTGTGGAAGGCAGGAGATGTGAGGTTATATTTGTGTTCTGGTTGTGGTAGGGACAGGAGATTAAAGAAATATTTGCACAATAACTGTGCATGTTAAACAATGATGCATGGGTAGAAGGCTCATAATTTCTGTGTAAAAGCTCCTTTTTCCATCCATATTTCATTGGAACCTTGTGATGTGTCGTTTCTTTGTAGATGGAATTACACTTTGTTTCAGGCCTTTGTTTCTTGCAAGGTCACAGTTCATTTCACCATGTCTGGATAATTCTTTTTCTTTTGAAAGTGTGAGTATTGTTTTGCGTCAATTCTTGCCCCTGGTAAGCCGTCAGGCAGCTGAAGATAGCCTAGGATGACTTAACTTGAGAAAGAGGCCTATGATAAGTGCTTACACTTACAACTTCTTATTTATAAGTAGATGAGCAGGCCACATAGCAGAAAATATCAATGAGAGCTGATGACTTTTTCTTAAAATGAACCCCCCTACTATGTGGTCTAGAGAAATATTTTAGGGTTGCATGCGTGCTTGAAACCTCAGTGAGTTGCAGGAGCTCAGGTCAATGAATTTCAACACTAGCAGTGAATACCAAGAAGACTGTAGCAGTGAGGTTCTCTGACAATACTTTGTCTTTTGTTTTAAATCTTTCTTTCCTTCTTTCTTTCTCTCTTTCCTTTTTTTTTTTTTCCTGTTTTCCTATGTATGTAGGTTTAGTTTGAAGGAGAGGCATACCTTCATGTAGCCACATGTTCTGCATTAGTGCCTCTTGCTCATGCTGCAGGTCTTGTGAAAAGCAGAAGTGAGGTTATATTTGTGTGATGGTTGCAGTAGGGAGAGGAGATTAAAGCATGATGTCAGTAGAAGTCTCATCTGTGTGGAACAGCACGTGTAATAAAAGAGGGGAGGATATTACCTAGAAATTGATAAGTTGATTTTAGCCAGTGTCCGTTGGATGACTGCTCCTCTTTTAGTTCAGACATTTCCCATTCATGTGCTTTACAATCCTTCTATATCTTTGCAGAATGTTGGTGAGCAGAGAAATGTCCCTGCCTTTTTTGGTGTGATCATGTTGCATTATATTCTCATGATGCATTTTTACTAATTCTGAGGGTGAGAAGCAAACCTGCAGGTTGTGTAGGGTTGGAGAGAATTGTGGAAGCTCTGTTGGCAGGGGGCTGTAGCAGAACTGACGGTCAATTCCCTGCTTGTCATAGTTACTCTGTTAGGCACACAGTTGTGGTACCATGCAATTTCAGTTCCTTCAGCTCAATACACTTGGCCTAAGAAATATTGCACCTGGTCTGTTCATATCTGTTGCAATACTATTTGATATATCTCACTAGTATCTTCATCAATGAGTGTCATGGTTTCATCTGGGATGGAGTTATCTTTCTTGCTAGCAATTGGTATAGTGCTATGTCGTGCATTTGGGATGAAAATAGTGTTGGTGAA